ACGGAAAATTTTACCACTTCAATGCGCTTCATTGTATGTCATTCTTTAATTCTGCAAAGAACAAAGTTCACATTGGTCCATTTTTGGCCCTGTGAATTTCTGAAAAATCAGAAGTACTCATTTTTAGTTGAAAATATGTTAAATTTCACTCGGGCCCTTGGTAACTTCATATCAAATAAAAATGACGTAATATTTTCTTTTGTTCATGTATTATGACGTCATGAATTTCGTCATTTTCCTCAAATCTTGAAAATTTCTTTAAAAATTACCAAAAATTTAAGCTGTTTTTTAATATTTTGCATAGCCCCCAACCTCTGATCTAAAATGTTCAATTACATAATGAAAGAACTGTTTCAGAAGATTCTAATCCATGAAATTTTTTTTGGATCGCGGGGTGGGCTCATATTTTTATCAAAAGTTGAAAATGCTCAATTTCACCCTTTTTCGTCAAAAATCAAGAACATTGCAGTTTCACAACGCCAGAGTTTCTAAACTTGGACTCGCAGAGAAAATGTTTTTATAGGAAATGAAAGCACTGAGTCTCTACTTTAAGTTGATTTTCGAAATAGGACGTTAGGTCTTGGTTGGTTAATTGGTAAATTGACAGGGCCATTTTATGGAGTTCGTGAACCTACCTCTTTATTGAAAAAATTGCAATTAAAGAAAAATAATGCATTTATTTACAGCAGAACACATTTGCATATACACGTGGCTTCATGGAACATTGAAATCAACTCACATTTACCTGTAAAAACTAATGATACACCTGAGTAACCTCATGACCTAGATTCAGACCTAATGTGATACTTGTTAGACCAAATTCTATACCCTATTGAGCTATCCAGCAAGCTATTGAAAACTCTACCACTATTTCGTAATTCGCTGTAATTCTCCTTTCAAAGATGCATGTATAACTGTACTGCAGTGCATTGGATTGTAATGCTTGACGATCAGTCTATTTTATTTAAACATATTTGGTCAATATTAATTCAAGTATGATTGCTTTTCACTATATATCTGAGTACGCAATTGATAATATCGGCAAAATTCTTCATAATAAAGTTACATTTTGTTGCTGAAATGCACCTGTTCGGGTATGCAAAACAGTGGAAAAACAAATGAACTTTTATGTGTGATTAACGAATAGAGATTTTGAGACTCAATCAAACTAAGCGCCGATTAACGATGTAGAACAATCAACGGGCTTTCCAATACTGCTCCTAAAGTAGCAGTAATTGTTTAGTGAGATACACTAACACTAAAATCAGACTTTACACGTGACCTTACCGTTAGTCACTCTGACTTTGACACTTAATCATTCTTGAAATGCCTCTCTGAAGTCTTATGTAGTTTACAAGCTTGCCGCCTGTTAGCATTGACTGAACATTTGCATAATATAGATCGTTTTATCTACGTTGTTCAAAGGGCCATAATTTGAGTTATCGAACTTTGTAGAAACTTACATTATGCAAATTTCACATCTTACAATCAGTCGCAAGGGAAAAATGTATAAGTAGCCTGTCTTAGAAGGTTGGCTGGTAGGGAATATTTCAATACACTAAGAAGTAAAATAATTGTGCTTGTCTAATGAAAAGTATCATTGCACGATCCTGCACTCTACTGCAATACAATGCAATTCATTGTAATGTGTTAAAAATTGACCAATCGAAATAAACTTAGTCAATTTGTTTCGCAATTGAATTCAAAGTCTGATTGAAAATCCACACTATTTCAATTTCATGCTCTGAATTAAAAAAAACAACAACAAACAAACAAACGTGATGGAATTGCTTTTAATTCACACATTTACTCATATTTGATTTCTTTGAGAGGAATCAAAAGTAACTATCAGGAAATGTGCCGAAAGACTTTTCGACAGTGCTACGTATTAATGGATTTTTTTCATCAACCGACTAGTTTTGGTATTCGCAAACCATCCAGGAGTTAATAAGAATTTAAATGCACTTATTTGGGAAAAATTATTTTGAATTTCTTAAATCGGATATGTCTAATTGCTGATATTTACCTTTATGCCAAATCATCAAATTTTCGCCTTCAAAATAGAAATTGTTAAAGACTTGACCTATTAAAACAATCTCATATTTTCAAAAAAACACTCATGTAGGCATCTTGATGAAATGTTAGTTTCACCACATATTAGTCGAATTCAAAAAACAACTCAGACTAAATTTGTGGCCCATAAGCATCCTGTAAAATTCGTATGATCTTTTTTGGCTTCACACAAGTCGAATTAAATCGAGGCCAATGGGCCACGTCTCTCACCTGATCATCATGGCTAGAAAAAAAGAGCAAAAATCAAATCAAGTACCGGTATTGTAAAAACTTACATGCATAAGTGGTTCCAATCTGCCCTTAAAGGAGGGGATTAAATTTGAATTAACTCGAACCTACACTTACTAAGAATGTTTTAATACATGTACACTTTTCTTTGACTTACTATGGCTTTTTCCATATAAGTTTCATTTTTAATTTTAGCCCCACCTTATCCTCGAAGTCATGATTTGAACTACTTTGAATCTACGCTACCCGAGAATGGCTTTCTTGTTCACATGAAAAAAAAAATTAAAGATTTTTTCCTATATTTTCCTAAGTAAAACTTTGATTGTCCGTTGTGGGCCCACCCTTGCCCCCAGGGGTCATGATTTCAATAACTTGAATTTTTACAACCTGAGAATGCTTCCATATAAATATGACCGATCATGTTATTCTTGATAAGGAAGATTTCAAAAGATTTTTCCTATAGATTCTCATGTAAAACTTTGATCGTCCATTGTTCACCCATACCCCCGGGGGTGATAATTTGAACGAACTTGAATCTACATTACTTGAGGATGCTTCCTTAAAAATATGAGCAATCATGTTTCTTCTTCAGATTTTTAATTTTTCCCTGTATATTTCTATGTAAAACTTTGATTGTTCATTTTTGCCCCATCCTACTCCCCAGAGGTCATGATTTTATCAAACTTGAAACTACAATACCTGAGGATGCTTCCTTCTAAATATGACAAATCATGGCTTCGTTGTCCTTTAGAAGATTTTTAAAAGATATTTTTCCGTGTATATTCCTATGTAAAAATTTGATCGTATATTGTGGCCCCGCCTTACCCCCGGGGGCCATGATTTGAACAAACTTGAATCTACACTACCTGAGGATGCTACCACATTCATCTTACCTAACCTCGTGGTTCTTCAGAGGATTTTTAAATTATGTCAACAATTTTTCACTATTTCGTAAAGCAATATGAGCTGCAAGTTTAATGTCGAAAATTTTTGTTGTAATATTGTTATTAACTATTTAAATGACAGAAAAAAAAGAACATTTATTAACTTCTACTCTTTATATCTCAGACAGAAGAACTATTTTTATGCTTCGATTGAAGCAAAATTACATTATTGTTGTCCTGTACAATATTGATTTCTTATATAATATTGTAAATTCCTTTGTAGAAATCTTTCTTCTGAAAACAAAAATAATTCTTTATATCGGTCAAATGAAACATTATTGTTTTAATTACTTACAGATTTATCATAATACCATATTTTAACAGCAAAATTAATTTCTCCAAAGTGCAGCTCATATTGCTTTAATTATCTCACCTTAAAAGAGAGGAAGGTGATTCAGGTTTGTTCAAGTGAACTGCCATAGTTCACTTGAACAAACCTGAATCACCTTCCCTCAAGTATGCTCTGTGGCAAGTTTGTTTGAAATTGGCCCCGTAGTCTGGAGAAGTCGAAAATGTGAAAAGTTTACAGACGGACGGACGAACGCCAAATGTGATCAGAAAAGCTCACTTGAGCTTTCAGCTCAGGTGAGCTAAACAAAACCAACAAATAAAACAGACAATTAGTGATAATAGATTTAATACTTGTGTAACCTCCAACATTGCGAGAAAGACCGTTGGGTGAGTGTGGTTTATCATTAAGTGAGAAGATTTAACAATTCGAAAACAACATACTAGCCGAGTACAGGTAAAACAAAATCTTTAAGATAATCGTTATATGCAATATCAAGATGAATTCATAGAATTCATAAATAAACTCGATGGAATATTTTAATATTGTAAGTGAAGGATTATTGAAACAGCAACAAAAAATCTTAATGTTAAAAACTCGATAATTCGTTGTAGGATCGAGGAGGAAAAAACAATGCACGCAGGCAAAAAATATAACAACAAACTGATTTAAAGAAGCCCTATACCTGTAGTAATCAAGTTTTTACTTGTAAAGTATGGAAACCGTTATAAGAAAAATCATATCCATCTAATGTAGTTGTGACTTTTCAGTCCAAGAGATTCAAAGAGGATAAGAGAAAGTAAGAAAGAAAATTATATTAAGAAATACACGTATCACACAACGTAACTCCTCTCTCTCTCTCATCTGGATTTTCTATATTCTATCAAAAAAGTCGTTTCTAAATACATGCATTGGTTGGACTAACTAAATCAAGCAGTGACTTCAACATTCAGAAAAAATAAAATACTGGGTATGTCAAATGTATCTCAGTATTATTTGGAATTATGAAAATCAACTCAAAAAATACCATTATATAATTTCCCCGTACGAACAAGTATATACATACACGGTATCATTTTCCTCCAATAGTGAAAATACCGTATTTCCCATATTTAGTTAGTTCTGATTTTTACTCTTTGTCCTTATGCCGAACTTCATTTAATTACATTGGTTTACACATGTTTTGTTTGTGATATTATTACAAAATATGTTTTTGTTGTAGACATATTTCGCACTTTATTATCACTTATCATGTAAACAAATAAATAACATCAAAACATATTTCTCGGAAAGTCCCATAATTTCAATTTATTAATTAGAATTAATATCAAAATATATTTTTCGGAAAGTAATAAATCGGAAAATTCAATCTAAAATCTTTTCTTTATACATGTGCTTGCAATATTTATTCTATATATGTTTCTGAAACAAATACACTCATCAGATTTTTTTTGGATTCTAAATGTAAAATTGCATGTACATGTACATACTTTATCATCATTTCAAAGGAATAAAATGGCACTGTTCGGAGACATAAAAATAAATAATTGTCTAAAATATTACTATGCACCAGAAACAACATTACATCTTCATTCTTAAAGTGTTTGAGTATCTTAAAATGAGAGAGGATAAATGAATTTCATAATATGGCTATGCTACATAAAATTAGACATCCAGTCGAACACCTGTTTCTACTTTTCTAACTTCCGAAAACGTACTAGTACGTAACGTCTTTGAAGGTTTTACTCGCTTATTTTCTGCAATTACATATATATGTATACATGTACCTACATATTTTTTCCCCCAAAACTTTTCTATTAATACAGTAAAAAATGTATTATACAGAAATTTTCAAAGCCCTCATCATACATTCTCTCTTTGATGGATATTGACATCTATAGGCTGTAAATGATAAAATATCGATTTTTTTTAGTATTGATATTTAAGCACATCGATATGGCTCATTTCGGAGATCACGCACCTGCAGATGTAGCAACAGCTGAAAATCACAGCTTCACTATTGTTAAAACTTTATAAAATGTCATTTCTATTACTAGACCAGATTATAGCTTGCTTTTATAACAAAGGTTTCTCGTAAGTCTGTAAAATTTTCTTGCTTGATGATATGTTACTTGTACTGTGTATATTTTGATATATCGACGAATCGATATTATTTAATTGCTTTATCGATACTTTATTCATCTTCAAAAAAGTTTTTATTAAGTTACAAAACTCTTATCTTTGAATCGCTCTAACGCTGTAAGACCCGGCTATATTTTATAATGCCCTGAAGGTTGAGTAAAATATGAATAAAAAGGGAAATAAGAAATATTGTTGAAAAAATGTAAACACTTGGAATGATTCAAATGAAACAAACATTTAACAATATGTGACAAAAAACTTTTTCAAGTAAAGTGCCATCATAATAATTAAAAGTCAAAGATTAAGCCAAAGATTCATATTCCAACAATACACTGAAGAAGAAAATGTATGTTAAATCAATATTAAATTGGGAATGTGAACATGAATAATTGAACCAGGACATACTTTTAAAAACAAGTGTGAAGATATTTCTATCATTCATTTAGAAATGTGTCCATTTCTCATGCAATAATTTCTTGGATCAAATATGAATGCAAAACTTATATAAAACTACGTTACAAATGGATGTTTAAAATATGACACTGCACTGCGTGTATAAAAATCTATAAACAATCGAACAATTTAAAAAGTAAATAAATAAAACGAAGTTATATCATGGTATTTAAACATTTCATCCAAGGTTATTGCAGTTTCCGTCTGTTCCTCGAGAATGACCATTCTCAGTTAATTCGGAATTTTTATCTTCCTTTTCATCCTCTGTCGTCTGTTTCACTTCATCCACGTGACAGCAAATGTCCTTCAAACTTTCGTCTTTTTCATCCTCTTCATCTTCATCGCTAGCGATGTCCAGTAACTTAGATTTATCTCGTCCATGTCGAATACAACCGTATTGCACATGAGTGTAGTACAGTACAAAATTACTAACAATAATTGGAACAGTGAAAGCGATCATCAGTAAACCGGATATTGCGCAAAGACTTCCGATGACATAGCCTGGAGCTGTTGCAGGGTTCATATCACCGTAACCCACAGTAGTCATGGTAATGACGCTCCACCAGAAACCTATTGGAATGTTGTCATAGCCACTATCCGGTTCTGCGAAATGTATCAAGGAGGCAAAGATGACCATCCCGATCAGAAGAAAGACAAACATGAGGAGAAGTTCATTGAAACTGGCCTTGAGAGTATAAAGTAATATCCACAGCCCGGGAACATGGCGGATGAGTCTGAATATACGACATAACCTTAACATGCGTAAAATAAAAATAAAGTCCATAAAAGGCCAGTCACTTCCTTGTGGATTGGAAATCTTTAAGAGAAATTCGATGTAATCTGGAAGTATAGCGACGAAGTCGATTATATTTTGTAAGGCGGTGATAAATTGGCACTTCCGGGGACAAAAAATGAATCGTGTTAAGAATTCCACAGTAAAAAACGACACACAAACAAGGTCTGTTATTATGAGCGCCGGATGAACTACTGTATCATTTTTCGGAACCACGGGTTCGGCCGTGGTGGTGTTCGATTGGATTACCGTGTGGTTTCGGGCTTCGTGAATGTTGGAAAATGTGAAGAGATCGTATAGAGTTTCATAGTCCTTGAGGAAATCTGTATGTTTTGAAATTCGAAATAATGGATGCGTTTCCGCGCAGAATGAGAATATCGAAAGGAAGACAAAAATGATGGAAATCCACGCATATATCTGAAAAGAAAATACTTGATTTAAAAATCCATTATAAAATTTTTAAGAATTTCAAGATATTATTCAAAATGAATAAGAAAAGTACATAAAACATTTTTTTTCTCTGCAAAATTCAAAACATGTTGATGATGAACCAAAATTTCTTTTTTACACCGTATTTATATTTCACTTAAGGCATTTCCATCCTCCTGTGATGTCATAGGTTTTCGCAGAATCTGTCATTTAAGGGGGCCGACTATAGTTTTATTGTGTGAAAACTACAATAGCGAAACTCTTCATTTTTATACCATATAACTTACATTAACTTCAGTGTACATGCAAAGTTTGGGGGAAATCCAGGTATTTTTGAGGGACGGTCTCAAAATACAGGTACATTTACTATAGGATTATATAGGAAAATGCCAATTTTTAGCACTTTAAAGCAAATCATACAAATACTACAATAGACGTTTTGTTCAAACTATAATATTTGATGAGTAATACTATATTATACATTATATGTAAGAAACACAAAATTCTACCGTCTTGTTACCACAGGGGGCATCTCAAAATGCAAAAAATTAGCAAGTTTTAATATTTTATCTAGAGTACTACAAAATATGACGCACACAATGGATTCACATGAAAACATAATAAAAATATTGGAGATATTCTCAAATTTCTATGTTATAAATTTCAAGAGCGTATGTTTATTACTTTTTCTTTAATAATATTTTTGTTACCCCTTTCTTTATCATAACGTCAAAAACACACTGCAACGACGTCAACCTGCCTATCAATTGCAAAATCGGTTAAAAAATCAGTTACATCAAATTGTAACTACATTTTTATACCTATATTAATTTTGTTTAATTTTAATAATTAAGCGAAAAAAGTTGCATTAAAACCGTAAATACGCTTCATTTTACTGTGATGCGCGAAATATTGCGCAATGGAAACTATAGTCGGCCCCCTTAAATTCATACCCCATAGAAATATATCTTTTGAATAAATGCCTTTCAATAGGTGAAATACAAGTAATTGTTTAGTAAAGTATATGTATTTAAGCCAGATATTATGTATTTAAGCCAGTGTTAACTTAATTTCTAACTTACTTGTATACTAAAACTATTTTTTGGCATATGCTTCTGTTTATTTATGTCTTACATCTCTAGAAATATTGCAACATATACATTTTTAGCGGTAATTATTCAATTTTAACTGTACTATGTGAAAAAAATTGCAGTTTCTTCTACTTCGAACCCATAAAATTGTGAGGATGGAAATACCTTTATTTAAAACATACCATCTACTTTTTTAAACACACAAACAGAAAACCAGTATATATATATGATCTGTTTTCCCCCTTTTTAGTACATGTACAGTGATAATAGGTGATTGCCTTTGTACACAAATTAAGCAGTGATTTCAATATCACTCCGCTGAATGTGATTCTAGTATATGACCTTCCCTCCTTTGTAGGCAAACTATTTTTGTCTCTAGGAATAATCATATAATCCGATATTATAACTCCGCAGATTGATTGGGGTGTGGTGTCCTGGTTTTATTGCTCAATGTTCCGTAGGTATTATGGGAAACAAGATCTATTTAATTAAAATTGACGATATGTGAACGCTAATCTTATAGACGTCTCTAAGCAACGTACTTTTTAAACTAAAGGACAACCTGTTTGCGAAATAAAAAGTAAGGTTATTAATAATAAACAACTGTTTACATATTTTCTTGTACGTCATTTATGAATGAAAAAAAAATGGCAGCTGAATTTCGTAAAGTAAACCAATTGAAATTAAAAACAAGAGGCCCATGGGCCACATCGCTCACCTGAGCACTAAGGGTAGGAAAAAGTAGAAAAATGGCTTTTTATTGTAAAGTTTAAATCCAAAAGTAGTCCCATGACCAATCATGGATATGCTATTTTTTAGAAAATGATTTTTAAAGAATTTTCCTACATGTATATATATCTTTAAAAACTTTGTTCGGCCATTTTGGCCCCGCCCTACCCCGGGGGGTCATGATTTGAACAAACTTGAATCTACATGTACACTACCTGAGCATGCTTCTATATAAATATGATGAATTATGGCTTTGTCATTCTTGAGAAGAAGATTTTTAAAGAATTTTCCTATATATTTCTATGTAAAACTTCGGCCATTTTGGCCCCACCCTACCCCCGGGGGTCATGATTTGAACAAACTTGAATCTACACTACCTGAGCATGCTTCCATATAAATATGATGAATTATGGCTTTGTCATTCTTGAGAAGAAGATGCTTAAAGAATATTTCGTATATATTTTTATGTTAAACTTTGGTCGGCCATTTTGGCTCCTCTCTACCCCCGAGGGTCATGACTTGAACAAACTTGAATCTACACTACCTGTTTATTACTTTTTCTTTAATAATATTTTTATTATATTCGTCAAAAAACAGCATGCTTCCATAAAAATATGATGAATTATGGCTTTGTCATTCTTGAGAAGAAGATTTTTAAAGAATTTTCCTATATATTTCTATGTAAAACTTTGGTCGGCCATTTTGGCCTCGCCCTACCCCCGGGGGTCATGATTTGAACAAACTTGAATCTACACTACCTGAGCAAGCTTCCATATAAATTTGATGAATTATGGCTTTGTCATTCTTGAGAAGAAGATTTTTAAAGAATTTTCCTATATATTTCTATGTAAAACTTTGGTCGGCCATTTTGGCCCTGCCCTACCCCCGGGGGTCATGATTTGAACAAACTTGAATCTACACTACCTGAGCATGCTTCCATAAAAATATGATGAATTATGGCTTTGTCATTCTTGAGAAGAAGATTTTTAAAGAATTTTCCTATATATTTCTATGTAAAACTTTTTCGGCCATTTTGGCCTCGCCCTACCCCCGGGGGTCATGATTTGAACAAACTTGAATCTACACTACCTGAGCAACTTCCATATAAATTTGATGAATTATGGCTTTGTCATTCTTGAGAAGAAGATTTTTAAAGAATTTTCCTATATATTTCTATGTAAAACTTTGGTCGGCCATTGTGGCCCCGCCCTACCCCCGGGGGACATGATTTGAACAAACTTGAATCTACACTACCTGAGGATGTTTCCCCATAAGTTTCATCTTTCCTGGCATAGTGGTTCTTGAGAAGAAGATTTTTAAAACATACCACCAAATTTTCACTAATTCTCAATTATCTCCCCTTGAATGAGGGCGTGGCCCTTCATTTGAACAAACTTGAATCCCCTTCACCCAAGGATGCTTTGTGGCAAGTTTGGTTGAAATTGGCCCAGCGGTTCTTGAGAAGAAGTCAAAAATGTGAAAAGTTTACGGACAGACAGACGGACAGACAGACAGACGGACGGACGCCGGACAAAATGTGATCAGAAAAGCTCACATGAGCCTTCGGCTCAGGTGAGCTAAAAAAATGAAAATAACTTGTTAGGAGATATGAAAGAGGATTAAAATATGAGCTGAGATATCTATACAGGTAGTACACCTTGTATAGTGACATATTTTAAAAAAGAATGTTCAGATCAAAAAGAATATCCCAGTAAACTGCATTGACAAAGTATGGAAGTGGATTCGGGGATCGTCAAACATAGCGGAGTGTGTTGTTTATTTCGTATGCATCTTGAATACTTTGGTCGAATTTGCAACTTACATAGACGAGTTACTGTAAGGTTTCACTCCCATTCTTTACTTTCAAATATTTACTCTTTTCAATGACTTTCTCTGCGATAAAATGGCCTTATAATCCCATAAAGCGATTTTCTAAGCACGTGACAGATCTAGAACTACATGCTTTTTTCCTGCGTGTTGCTTAGTAATACACTTAGTGGGGATACTGAAATTTCTTATTATTGAAGTTTTTTAAAAATTGAATTAAGGATCAGGTAAATAATAACTGTTTTTTTTTTGTTTTATGATGATGATCAATCAATTTGTTCGCGTGATAATTTTACCCATAAACGCCTTCAGCGTTTATACAAATTATCACGCGAGGAAATTGACTGATCTCATGATAAAACAAAAAAACTAGACAGTTATTCCTCAAAAATACAACGGGAATTTCGGATAATATATCCTAGGATGTTCCTAGCTAATCCTCTACTATGATGCCAGAGGGCAGGCATATGGACTGGATAGTTTATATAATGATATTTGTAGATATGTCCGAAATATCCCACGTTTTTCTGTCTTTTTTCAAGATTTAAGATAGCTAAACGAATGCGACAATTTCAAAATACAATTTTTTAAAAATCCCGAGGAATTTTTATAGTTCATTCATGTCGTGTTGTTACTCATCAGAAGGAAATACAATTTCTTAATTTAAAAAAATCAAATATATATGTATATATTTTATATTTTTTGGGGAGGGGGGTTATGAATTTTTTTCTTCAAATTCAGTTTTGTTCCCCAGAAAACATGTACAGTGAATTAAGAATGTACTTTAAAATGATAAATAATCGCAATTGAAGAAGAGGCCTAAAATTTCTATGTAAAGAACAAAAATCCTTCTAGTATCTGGTTTCAGGAAGGTAATTAGTTCTTCCCGGTTTAGATAAGATACATGTTCTCTCTAACGTAGTAACAGTGTGCGATTATTCAATATAGCTGACTTGATCTCTACACACTCAACAAATCGGTCCTATTTCTATATTATCGGGTGTGTCTTTTATCCAGTTTAACAATAGGAGATATTAAATTGCACACATATATTTCTAGATAACAAGTCCTATTTACATGTACTTCCTACACGAAGATTTAATCTCACTGCCTCATTTTTAGCCGGGCTTATTGCTCAAAGAGCAATTGCCGGCTGTTCAAGGCAGGATGTTAACCCCATAGTCGCCATTTTAAAGTTACGTGCAAAAATATAGTTCTTACTTCAACCGCTTTTGAGATAATACAAACGGTAAATAAAGCAACAAAAATAAAACGAAGTTTTATCTGTATAAAAGAAACATTAGTAGTAATGACTTTGAAAACTTCATAAGTCAAAGAGCA